TTCCATCACTTTACTTTCGTCTGTATGTGTCTTTTGATCTGAAGTGAGTCTCTTGTAGGCAGCATATGTAAGGGTCTTTTTTTTTTATCCATTCGGCCACCCTATGTTTTGATTGGCACATTTAATCTTTTTTTATTTGAAGCAATCGTTGATATGCAGTTATTTCCATTTTATTATTTAAATTTTTGGTACATATTTTCTTCTTAAAGAAAGAAGAAAATACTATATTTTCTATAATTTTGGCTTGGTGATAAACTCCTTTAACTTTTTCTTGTCTGGGAAGCTCTTTATCTGTTCTTTGATTTTAAATGATAATTTTGCTAGATAAAGTATTGGTTGTAGGTCTTTGCTTTTCATCAACTTTGAATATTTGTGCCAATCTCTTCTGGCTTGCAAAGTTTCTGTGGAGAAATCAGCTGACAGTTTTATGGGAACTCCCTTGTAGGTAACTAATTGCTTTTTTCTTGCTGCTTTTAAGAGCCTCTCTTTGTCTTTAACCTTTGGCATTTTAATTAAGATGTATTTTGGTGTGGGCCTTTTGGGGTTCATCTTGTTTGGGATTCTGCACTTCCTGGGCTTGCATGTCTATTTCCTTCACCAGGTTAGGGAAGTTTTTGTCATTATTTCTTCAAATAGGCTTTCAATTTCTTGCTCTCTCTCTTCTTCTACCCCTATAATGCAAATGTTGGTATACTCGATGTTATCCCATAGGCTCCTTAAATTATCCTCATGTTTTTGGATTCTTTTTTCTTGTTGCTGTTCTGATTGGGTGTTTTTTGCTACCTTATCTTCTAAATTGCTGATTTGATTCTCCACTTCATCTAATCTGTTGATGCTTCCTAAAGTAGTCTTTATTTTAGTTATTGTATTCTTCATTTCTGACTAGTTCTTTTTTAACGTGTTTTTTTTCTTTTATCTCCCATTTTATGTTTTCTATCTCTTTGTTAAGGTTCTCACTAAGTTCATCTACTCTTCTCCTAAGTTCAGTGAACACCCTTATAAACTAGTGTTTTGAACTCTGTATCTAGTAGATTGGTTGTCTCCATCCATTTTGTTTATTCTTTTTCTGGAGCTTTGTTCTGTTCTTTCATTTGAGATATGCTTCTTTGTCTTCCCATTTTGGCTGCCTACTTTTGTTCGTTTGTATGTATTAGGGTAAGGCTTCTATGTTTCCTGGTCTTAGTAGAGTAGCCTTATATGGTAGGTGTGTTGCGGGTCCCAGTGGCACAGTCTTCCTTGGTCTCCTGAGCTGGATGCTCCAGGTATGTCCCTTGTATGGGTTGTGTGTGCCCTCCTGTTGTAGTTGAGCCTTGGTTGCTGTTTGCACGTCAATGGGAGGGATTGACCCTCGGGCTGATTGGTGGAGATGACTGGCTGTGACCAGTGGAGTAGCTGTTGTGCATGGGCTGACCCTACAGAGCCAGATTTGCTTTAACAGGGCTCTGGTGCCTGCCCTGTGTGCCCTTTGGGTGTGTCATCCTTAGATGTGACCCTGGGTGGTACTCTAGCTCAGATTGAAGCCAGCCACTGGGCGTGCAAGCTGGGGCTTCCTAAGAGGGGCCGAACCACAGGCTAAGTTCAGCTGCAGCCTGTGCCCTGCCCAGGGCCACCTGGCATGAGCCACCAAGCAATCTGCAGATGGCCGCCACCTACACTGGGCTTGGAAGTGCCTTGAGAGGCTAAGCCATAAACCAACGTTCGCTGCTGCAAGTGCCAGGCTTGGGACTGCTCAGCAAGAAGTATGGGGCATGCCAAGGCCAGATGCTGGTTATTTGAATTTTGTGAACCTTTGAAAGATTTCATGCAAGTTCACAGCATGAGCCAAGACAGGCTATTTGTATGGAAAAGCCACTGTATGGTTAGGCCCACAAGTTAGGAGAGGCGGAGTCTCAGGGAATCACCCAGGGAATCACTGGGTGGAGCAACCTGTGTTAATCAGGTTGATGGAGACTCAGATATAGGGACTGCCTGCATATGTATGCTGGGAGAGGAAGGCTCAACAAAGGAACATTGGATTCTGCCCTCCAGCCCTCATCCTGAAGCCAGACAATTCAGTTCCTCACTGTGTGTCCCTGCATTTTAAGTTGCTGCTGTAGCAGTGGAGCTCAGAGCAAGTAAGTTTGTTACTACTTCTACACATGGGCCCTTTAAGCCAGAGGTTGTGGGGACTTCTTTTCCTGACGTGGAACTCTGGAGCCCAATGTGTGGCTGGGACCCCTCATTCCTTTTGGTGGTGGTGGGGACTTTGCAGCCAAGATATCTTTCCTGATTCTTGACTACCACACGTAGTTGTGGGACCAAGCTATTGCGCATCTCCACCCCTGCCCCCCACCATTATCGAGGTGACCTCTTATGTATGACCCCAATTGTAGGACTTCTGTTCAACTAGACTTCAGTTGACTCCCAGTTATGGCTGTTCTGTAGTTTTGTTGTAATTTTGATGTGGTTGTGAGAGGAAACGAGCACAGCATCTACCTTCTATGCCATCTTGACCAAGATCTCTTTCATTACTCTTTTCATCTTGCAAAATGCTATACCCATTAAACAATAGCTCTCCATTCTCCCCTCTCCCCCCAGCTCCTGGTTTAGCCTCCTAGTTATAACACTCATAATTAGAACTTATTGTGTAGCTTTAATAACATACAAAAATTCCACTCCTTTACAGCTTCATTCCCATCCCTTTCACTTGTTGATAAGACAAAATTCTATCTTTATACATTGTATACCCCAAAACATAAACTAATAATTATTTTAAATTATCTTTAATTATGTAGAAAACAGAAAGTATAGTTACAAACCATTGTTACAATAATAGTAGCTTTTATGATTGCCCGTGTGTTTTACCTTTATGAAAATACTTTTTCATACAACTTCGAGATACTGTCTAGTATTCTTTCATTTCATTTCATACTTCAAGACTCTGTTGAGCATTTCTTTTAGGACAGGTCTACTGATAACAAACTCTTTCAGCTTTTGTTTGGAAATGTCTTAATTTCTTCCTCACTTTTCAAGGACAGTTTTGCTGGATATGATTCTTGCTTGAGACTTTTTTCTTTTAGCACTTTGAATATACAGGTTTACCCCATTATCCAAAAGTAGTGTGTTCCCATGAAACCTTTTGTAAGCCAAATGGTATAGAGTGAAGAATATTCCACACTTTCCAAAAGTTCATGTTATGCCACTTCACATTTACAAGAAACCTACATTAATACTGCATTTTTAGTACAAGTAGAAATCCTCTGTTGGTTAGCAAAACAATACTAGTGTAGGTCATTTGTAAAAGCAAAGTATGTAATGTGAACTTTCAGAAAGTGGGGGTATACCTCTATTGGCCCACTGCCTTCTGGCCTCTAAACTTCCTTCTGGCCTCTAAAGTTTCTGATGATAATCTGCTGATAATCTTAATGAGGATCCCTTGTATATGACAAGTCACTTCTCTCTTGCTGCTTTTAAATTCTCTCTTTGTCTTTCAAAAGTTTAATCATAATGTGCCTTTGTGTGCTGCTTTGAGTTCATCTTGGAATTTGTTGAGCTTCTTGTATGTTTATATTCATGTATTTCATCAAGTTTGGGGAGTTTTCAGCCATTATTTCTTCACATATTCTTTCTGCCTCTTTTCCCTGTCTTTTTCCCCCCGAAACTCCCAAAATACACGTCTGGTCTATTGCATAGTGCTCCACAGATTCCTTTGGCTCTGTTCACTTTTCTTCAATTTTTTTTTTTCTCTCCGGATTAGTAATGTCTATAGCCCTTTAAGTTTCTGATTCATTTTGCTGGTTCATTCTGCGTGCTCAGATCTTCCTTTGAATCCCTCAAATGAGGTTTTCATTTCAGTTACTGAAACTTTTAACTTCAGAATTTCCTTTTCTTTTTGTTTCTCTCTCTTTATTGATAGTTTCATTTTCTCATACATTGTTTTCTTGATTTTTTTCACATATTCCTTTAGTTCTTTCAGCATCTTAAAGACAGTTATTTTAAAGTCCTTGTCTAGTAGATCTGCCATCACATCTTTTTCAGGGACATTGTTGTTTTATTTTTTTCCTTTGAATGGGCCATACTTTCCTATTTCTTTGTATACCTCGTGATTTCTTTGTTGAAAACTGCACTTTTGGTCTAAAAATGTGGTAACTCTGAAAATCAGATTCTCCTACTTCCTCAAAGCTTGCTGCTCTTTGTTATTGTTTTGTTTATTGTTCGATGTTTGTTTGTTTTTTTTTTTTAATTGTTTGTAAGCTGTCTTTGTGCCAAGGATCTGACTGAGGTATAAACTCAGGTTCCTCTCAGGTCTTTTCTGAGCCTGCCCCTTCCCCTATATGCATAGCCACTTAATAATTTTGCCCGTATATTCAGGTTTTAATTAATTTTTAAAAATGTCCTAGGCTTTAGTGTCTGAACTTTAGGGAAAAAGAATAAAATGGCAATTATTATTTTCAACTGTTACTTAAACTTTTGTAAAATATGCTTTTTAAAAATTCTTTTCTCAACTGGATATAAGTTCTTTGTAGGCAGAAGACTGTACATATCCTACAGTATATTAACTTCTGAACCCTTAGAGTCGTTTTTGTTTACTATGATAACAGGTCAGCCCTGAGTGACATTTAATCACAAAAAGAAATTCTCAGCCATTTCTAAGCAAGGAACGACCAAATTGATTTTGTTAATCTTTATTTTCTATAACTTGAATTAAAACATTTTCTTCACATTTTCCAAATAATATTTGTTAAACCTGAATCTCTATGATTTGCTATATTTCTTATAATACAAGTTTCTATACCTTATAGGACTCTAATACACATTTGTACCCTTGAGTAAGAGTCACTGACATAGGACTCCTATTCTTGTTCTCACTCTTGCATTTTATTGTTGAAGAAACTGAGGGCCACATTTCAAGTAATTTCCCCATTTGTTACCTGACATAGTGTTCTCTAAACAACTTGGTCAAGACTCAAGATCCTTAGGAGTATGAGAGTTTTAAGTGCTTTGTACTTTTCTTTTGGCAGAGCTGAAAAACTTCAACTGCTGAATCACAGGCCTATGACTGCTGTTGAGATCCAGCTGGTGAGTGAAGGAGGCCTGCACTTGGCAGGGGTGTTAGATTTTGGGTATGAGATGTAGAAAGGGTGATAAAGTCTGAGAACAGACAATCCAGGAACTGACATTTCTTGAAAAGACTGCTGGACCACCCCATTTTAAAAATGAAAGGAAACCTCAGCAATTTGATCCTAATTGGCTTAGGGAAAGTGGAAGACTGGAGGAAATTTAATTCATTTTGCAGGGTTTGGGCCTATGACTTGGTAGCAGTTTGTCTCCCCTCATGTCCTACATCATTCTGGCATTGCTTCCCTGTAGGATATTGCCAACTCGGATGTTGCATAAAAACATTAGACTCAACATGAGTCTGGTGGAATTCATCTTCACCTCCTCCTACCCTTCGACCCTGAGTTTCTTTTTTTGTTAATGAAGCATCTGCGTTCTTTCCTACACATGTTCTTTTTGTCTCTCTGCTTCCTGGCCCAGTCTCCCAAGCCAGAAACCTGGAAGTTACTATCTGCCTTTTATCTCATATTCAGTTAGTCCCCAGGTCTTATTGCTTCTGTCTCCTCTTATTTTTTCTTCTCTCCCTACTGCACCTCATTACTTTCAGTCATCATTTCTCAACTCGGCTCTTGCAGTTATCCTCTTACCATCCTTTCTGCCTCCAGACCGACCCCCTCAAGTCTATCTTCTACACCACTATCATAGTTCAGTTTCTAAAATCACACATTTGGTCATCTTCTTTCCTGGCATAAAATCATTCAGTGGAACCTCATCACTTGGAAAGTCTAAATTGCAATCACAGCCTAAAGCTTCAGAATTGTGGAAGGCTGCTGGAATAGAAAGCTGAGATGGTATAAGGAGAATGTGAAAATGAGGTCCAGTGTGATACAAACTGAGTGGTTGCTAGATTGGCATGCTGTGGCAGTTTTCCTTTGTTGTACAGAGGAAAGAGCATCATTGAGCTACAAATATTCGGCAGACCATTTAACTGCCAGTAAAAAACATTGGCTGGAGAATTATAAAAATGAGAATAAAATGGTTTCCAAAGTCAGTTTTAGACGTATTTATCCCTTGGTCAAATTTCCTTCAGAAAAGTATGGAATAAAATGGCCAGAAATACCTATGATCTTTAGAGTTGCTTAAAAACAAACAAATAAAAAACCCGTTCTTTAAAGAGTCATGGGGTATTTAATTTTTACTAAAACTTACTGTCTTTGTAATGATATTTCTGCTCTTCAAAATGCGCTCAAAATTAAATTAGAAAAGTTCCTTTCACAAAGGATGCCTTTTTGGGGAAACTGGCCTTTAGGCTATATAGAGATTCCTTTTTGTACCCTGATTATTCTGATGCTTTTGACTGTGTTGGAGATTCAGCTTAGAAAAGAGAAAAAGCAAAACAGCAAGAAACTAATCCCTGTCTCTCTGGGTTAAAGATCACATGTCGTGTCTCCTCCAACTTTAATGAGCAACATATGTTATTCATGGCTTAATGACAGAAAAGAGATGAGGAGGACCAGCACGATCTCTTCCCAGAGGCTGTGGAAAGCTCTATCATTACTTGTTAAAATTAGCTGCTATTAAGAGTGCCTACTATATGCCAGATGTGGCACTGAGGGCTTTGTATATGTCACCTTTAATGCCCTCACCATAGTCTTGGCTAGTGAGTGGTTGCTTGGGTCTCTCTGATTCAGAAGTCTTGCTGTGTCCCTCCAGGCCATGTGCTTTTGCATGGCGAGAAGAAAGATATGACTGTTTGTTCTCTTTTCTGTGGTAAAAATTGTATATATTGTTTCTCAGTAGTTGGATCATTTTATAGCCAGATTTTTCCCAGCCTGGGATTTGGCTATTAAAGATAGCAAATCCTTTACTAAGGCTTGTAGCAGTACTTCTTCTCACCAAAGCGGGATCAGAAATTAGGTTTTCAAAAAGAGTGGAAAGTGTGAAGGACATGAGAATTTCCCTATGTTAACCTTATAACCGTTTATTTCCCTGGATCCAGTAATAGTCCCAGCATCTAACATTGTAATTATTCAGTTTCTGAGGCTGAAGCTTTTCTTTTTCAGTTATACCTCAGCCATAATTTGTTATGATCCCCAGACGCATAGGTGACTGCTGTCTGTGAAGAAGTGAGGAAGCCACCCAGCTTCTGTGACGTCTGCCATCCCTTGTTATGTTTTCATTTAGACAGTTTGTGAGCCCTCTGATCTGAAGACAGGACAGTGAACCCCATGACCTCACAGGCCTGAATAGTACTACCATCTATGTGTATTATGATTTAGTGATTATAAAATGTCTTGTATTATGTAGAGTTTTATGGCTTACAAAACACTATAATGTATGTTCTCATTTAGTCCTTACTATAGGCATTATTTTCATTTTATATTAGAGAAAATAAAAATTTATAGAGGTTAAGTGAACTGTCCTGGGTCAAATAGCTAAAAGTGTTAGTGGCTATTAGATTTTGAGATGTTTTGAAGAAAGTTGGAGGTTAGGCTTGATGCCTTAGAATAAGAAAACCATTATTGGAGTATACCAGCTCAGTTTGACAGCCCATGGGAATTGATATAATCTTTGTATATGATTAAAAATTTATCATTTATGTTGACCCATCTGCAAATACTTTGGATTTTAAATTTTCATTTACCTTTATATTCTGAATAACTCGAAACCTTTGGTATGTGAGGATGTTGAAATGATGCTTTGCACTTCCTTATTTGGGCTCTGTTTATTATGTGGTTGGAAGAAAAGGTGAAGAATAATATAGTAATTATCATTTACCCTAGTGATCTAAGATGAGGTAATAAGTTTTTGGTTTCTGAAAGTTTCTTTTTGAATATATTTTATTTTGCTTAATGCAGCTTAGGTTTTCTTCCTGTGACTGAACGTCTTGTGTTGAAAAGGAAAGTTTCTGACTATAGTTATCTCTGAGTGTTGTGTGCTAATCAAAGCTTCTGCTCTTGGTGAATTTGTCAACATAGAAAGCTCAACAGTCCTATTGCCAAGAACACACCTGAGATTAGCCACACATAATCTTAGTATTGCATCTGCCAAACTCATAGATTGGGATGCAAGAAGGTGGCCTGTTGAAGTTCTCTGCTGGTTTTCTAAAAAGGAAGGCCTCTCAGAGGTCATATAATTCAACTCTTAAATCAGTGGACGCTAGTCTGTTATATAGCATCCCTGAAAGAGGAAATGATAGAAACTTCCTACCGAAGGACATGGTATTCTAGAAGGAGCTGGGATGCAAAGTCAAAAGACCTTGTCTCATGAGACCCAGATTAAGTTCTCCTTAAACTCTGAGCCTCCATTTATCTATAAATTGTCCTGGCTTTATGTGTAACGTTTTTGAGAAGCTCTGGTGACAGTGATTCTGGAAAGCCCCGCATAAACTGTGGCACAGATATTGATGGGAAGTTGTCACTGTTCTAACAATAATTCAGATCTCACTCTCTTCCCTGAGGCAGGAAGCAGTTCCTAATCAACTGCATATACCAGTTATTCATAAATTTGGAGACATTCTTCTCTCAAATGGATTAAACCAAATTGGATATATCCCTTCTTCCAACTCCTTTATTCTTTAGAAGTAGTCTGTTAGATTACTGCCTTTTACACACCCTTATTTTGTATGTCTGATTTTAAAAATGGGCTTTTGAGAATTGTTTCCTGTTCAGTAGAGGTCACACTTCATTGAGCCTTTGAATCTTTAGAAAATGGTAATTTTATTTCGTAGCATGATGGGAAGTAGTAGCTCCATTGTTTCACTCAGGATCTTTCTCACCCGAGAACACCCAGGATTATTCTCTAGCTGTGGAAACATTTTTGGAGTGAGATGAAGAGACCAGTGTTTTACCAGGAATTTGCAGTATGATCTTGGATGTGTCATTTGGCTTCTTTAGCTTCTGTGCTATTTGTAAAGTCAGGCCATCAGACTGATTTCAGGCTTGTAAGCTTTCTTTACTTAAGTCTGCCAGGATTTCTTTCTAGAATTCCTTTTGGTCTTAGTTGCCAGAAGTTAGAGATGGCTGTGGAAAATGCTGTAGAATGGGACCCTGGACACCTTTAGTGAAGAAAGCTGTTTGTGATAGATGGCTAATGCCACCAAGTGAATGTGGTTAAACAACTAGACTGCCTGCAAGCTGCTTTTATTTTATTTATTTATTTTTTTAATTTATTTTTATTAGGGTGACATTGGTTAACAAAATCTAGTAAGTTTCAGGTGTACAATTCAACAGTACCTGCATACTGCTTTTAAAAAGTAGTTGACTATGTTATGTTTATATTCATTAACATATTGAAAATTAGATGTGAGGCTAAAGAAACTGACTCATGATTGTATCATATGTGTGTTCAGATTTCCAGAATAATGTCAGAAACCAGGCTTTAAGTAGACCTTTAATGGGGCAGTGTGGGATTGTTTCCCAGCTGTCACTCATCAGACTCCTATCCTGCATTCCCAGGAAGTGACTGAGACCAAGTGGTGTGTGTTAGATTGTAGGCATTAGAGTCAGGAAGGCCTGGCTTGGAATTCTACTAAATGCCCCTTGCCAGGATTGTTGTGAGGGTTAAAAGAAACAATGGATATGAAGTGCCAGGTGCAACGCCAGGCACATAAACTCCCTAAAGGGCTGCTGTTAGTGGTAGGGGCTAGTGAGGATTAGGAAAAAATATATAAACCATTTGGCACATAGTGGGGAGTCATTAGATAAGTTGTTGATACAGTTTATAAGTTAGAGATGTGCTTGTTATGAAATACAAAAGTATATAAAGCACTGTTTCACTCTCCAGAGGTGAATTTTCTTTACATATACAACATATTGACATGTGTATATGGGTATAGAACCACTAGGGTTTTCTTTTTCTTTAAAGAAAAATGCTAACCTGGAACTCTTTTTTTCACTGACCTCTTTTGAGCAGTTACACTGGGCTACTGTGAAATTTGAGCTGGCTTCTCCCTCCATTGAAGCCAAGATGAATAGGACCTAGAGACCTGAGGTGCTCAGGAGCCAGGCCCTGAACTCTGTGCCAAGAGGTTGGGGCTAGGACTGGGAACAACATGGGATGGCCTAGCTTATGATGCTCATTTGTAACCCTTGGAGGGTTTTCTTTCCTTTTGTAGATGGTGGAAGAGAGTGAAGAACGGCTCACAGAGGAGCAGATCGAAGCACTCCTCCACACTGTCACAAGCATTCTGCCTGCAGGGCCAGAGGCTGAGCAGAAGAAAAATACCAACTGTGATGTGACAATGGATGAAGAGGACCCAGCATAGAAGAGCACAGCTGGCCCAAACATCTCTTAAAGTTGAAAGGCCCAACAGCCATTTTTCAGACATGGAGAATTGTTTGGTTTTAGCCTCTACCCCAACAGATCTGATTTCATGGTTAGTTGGGTAAGTCACAAAAATAAGCCTTTCTCAAAAATAAGCTGAAAAGAAACACTTTGCTTCCAGAAGAAGAAACATGGTGAAAACAGGCTGAGGTTGTCAGTGCAGAGAGCTAAAGAAAAGAGGGCAGAGTCAAAGAGTACAATGAGTGTGGAATCCTCTGTGGTAAAAAAATTTCTTCAGTGGCCTTTGTTACAGTTGTGGGAAAGTCCCTATTCACACCTAGTAAAATACTTACATTGACTTTGATGGACTGTATTCTAATTAATTTCTTCTGCTTCCCTAGGAACTTCTCAAGCAGAGGCACAGAATGCTGTTAGGATGAAAACTGAGTTATGGGATGCCAGTTAGATGGCTACACACTCCCAGAGCAGCTCCTGGTTAAAATGAGCCACTGAGCCTGGTTCACCTTAGATGAATCTTCCTTGAGAACAGCTGAAATAAAAAAAGAATAGATCTGGCCAACTCTTCATCAGGTCTAAAGGCCCCTTTTCCTCTGCTGGCATGGACTTTGTTTACTAGCTCATTATTTTGTCTTAAATGTTAGAGCACAGCTCATTATAGTTGAAAAGAGGCACTTCAAACTGGCAACAGAAATAGTGTTGGTTCCCTTTCTAACTACCCTCAGTTTTTTGCCCTAGGACGGGAACCCTCGGCAGGTGCTGCTTGTTGAGACCAGGTGCGCTTCATTTGCACAATGGGCAAATTATTTGCATCTTTAAAAAGGGCACAATTATGTATCTCTCTTCATAGACAGAATGTATAAGAACTAGTGGTAACAAGAATTTGAATTTGTTGGCTGTTGTAAAGTTGTTTCAGTTTTTTTTTTTTTTAATTTAAAATATTGGGATAATTACCATGTAAAGAGCTTGTTAATATTCAAGCACTAGAGAGTTTAGTACCTCCAGATATGTGGTTGCCTTTGGTCCTAGGAATATTGCTAAAAATCTTAATTTTTCACATTCACTCTGTTCCTATTTGGGGAAGAAAATGATCATAGACATTAATTTTCCATATTGGTACTCATTTTGTTATAATGAGTTACAAATTTTTATAATTTGTTACAACTTTTTTGTTACAAATGTTAAAGCATTTTCAATGCTGCTATTGGATTGCTTCCCCCTCCTTTATGATTCCCAGGTTTTCATCCTTTCTACCTTGTCCCCTCCCCCAATTATAATTATGTCAGCCTTTGAGGATCAAGGGAGATCTGCTTATTGGCAACATTGAAATTAACAAGTCATTTATTTTTCAATCTCTCGAGTATTGGGAATTCTACCTGGAGCTGTTATTTCATCTTAACTTTGTGTTAGATACTTTTGCTTGATAGATTTCTGACTTAATCTGTTTAATAATAAATTGTTTCCAAGTCACTGCTCACTTGTGATATTTTTATAAATCTTTGAAGAGTTTGTTTTGCCATGGATAGAAAGAAATAAAGTGAAATCTGACTTAGTTTAAAATGTGTGATTTTTTAAAAAAAAGTTGAATCTACTTGGATTTAAATTCCATGTTGGGGTGGCTCCATAGTGTAGTGGTTAGCACGTCTGCTTTACATGCAGAAGATCCTGGGTTTGCGCCCCAAGTGGAGCCACGGACCGTGCACTGGAGATGTCAGGCCCTGGATTCGCCAGGCCCTCAGTGCACCAGGCCCCCAGTGCACACTGTGAGCGTGTGGGCGGAGATGCCCTGCCTTCAGAGATCCAGTTCTTAAGGGGAAACAGCAACATCCATAGGTCACAGGTGGAAGTAGGGGGAGGGGAGGAATTAAAGAGGGGGAAAATTAAAAATCTAAAATAAATAAATAAATAAATAAATAAATCCATGTTAGATTTCAGGAAGATTTTCTGTTTCTATATTTGGGACCTGAATGTAGCCTAATTTTTTGATTAAATCAGTCAGGCTCTGGAATACTTAATCTTTATCAGAAACATATTCTATGTGATATTCCTGTCACATTAATAATAAACATTTTAGAAATAAGTCATAATTTACTAAAGAAATTTAACCAGGATCACATCTTGGAAAGGAACTGGGAAGTCTGGGAGACTTGCTTTACATTTTATATCCTTCTATATGGTTTCAGTTTTTGACCATGTGACTGTTCTATTCTTTCAAAAGAAAAGATGTCCATTTCCGTGTCGTTCTTGGCCTCTGTGAAGGTGAGTGAATGGGTAGTTGATAGTTAAATTATGTCCCAAACATGGAGGCTGATGCCCAGTTCAGTCATTGGAGGAGAGGCAGTACTGAGAGGAGCTGGGACAGGTTTTGCATCATGACCTGTGATATGATGAGAAGAGAAAAATTCTGAGATGTCCTAATTATAGCTGACCAGAGAATGGGAGGGAAGTTAATTAGTTAACAGAGCTGAAACCAACAAAACACTGCTCATATTCCTGAATGTGTGTTGAAACTTTGAATCAACTTCCAGTTTGCTCTTTCAGCTCTTAGCTAGTACCAGAGGCCACCACATCTTGTTTATCCGTGAACTTTTGGGACCGTTGTCCACAACTAATCCAGAAGCAGCAGATACTTCTTTACCTACTGTGCACCTATCCCAGAACTTTCTCTGCTTCACCTCCCTCCCTTCTTATCTATAGCCAATGTGAATTCTTTCAAAATAAGTCTTTCTTTCCCAAAGTTATTGTATAAAAGAGCTCCTTCAGCCCTAGGATAGTGGACATGTTTTGTCGTCTTCTAGCCCTGGTGCTGGTGGTTTAGACTGCATTCTCTGGGACCTGTGCTTTTTCTGGCTAGCATATGGCTCAATAAACCCTTTCAAAAAAACTTTTAGCCTCAAAGATTATTGTTTAACAAGCATATGAGGAAGGCAAAGTTTTGAAGTTATAGCTAGATAGATTTTTTAGGTCTACTGGCCTTCGTTATTTGACTTCCGTAGGCTCTCAGTTTTTTCATTTGTCTGTTTGTTTTTAGGACTAAGTTCTGGTTTCTAACTTGGAGAGGTTTTTTTAGTTATCTGTCAAGAAGGTACTAATGAGCTCTTAAAAAATTAAGTTGACTCCCACTTAAATGTTTACTCAAATATTTAACTTCTCTCTTTTTGCTTGTTGCAGTATGATCTACTGCCACCTCAGAGCTCATTCATAAAATGGGTACCATTTCCCTAATCAATCGTTATGTAACCATACCAACTCTCTAGAGCTTATACCCTAATCAGAGGTGAATAAATTAATGCTCCAGTATATTCTTTGCTAAGTCATTTTCTCCCCTGAAACCAATTTAACACCATTTGTATACACCAATCATTTCTCAGTAAACTATAAAGTGTACCCTGAAAAGCATCATCAACCATATTTAATCACACAATGAATGAAGGGGAAAAAAATAAGCAAAACTGTGTAGAGGTCCTTTTACATATTTTTAAAATTAAGGTATCATTCATATATCATAAAATTGACCCTTTTAAAATGTACCATTCAGTGGTTTTGAGTATAATCACAAGGTTGTACAACCATCACCACTACCTAATTCCAGAATGTTTTCAATCACCCCCAAAATGGGGAGCCTGGCAACCACTACTTTCTATTTTCTACTTTCTGTCTATATATTTGCCATTCTGGATATTTTTTATAAATTGAATCTCATAACACGTGGCCTTTTGTATCTGAATTTTTTCACAGTATAGTATTTTCAAGGTTCAAATATGTTATACCATTTTTGTGGATGAATAATTCATTGAATAGACATACCACATTTTGAATATTCATTCATCAGTTGGTGAATATTTGAATTATTTCTACTCTTTTTTGAATATGTTACTGTGAACATTGTGTGCAAAGTTTTTGTGATTGTGTATTTTTCTTTCTCTTGCATATACCTAGGAGTTGAATTGTTGGGTCGTATGATAAGGCTATGTTTAACTTTTTGATGCAGTACCAAGGTTTTCTATAGCACCTGAACCATTTCATGTTTCTACTACCAATTCATGATGAAATCCAATCTCTTGTTATTGTCCCTCTTTTTGATTATAGCCATCCTAGAGGTTGTGAAATCACTGGTTTTGATTTGTATTTCCCTAATGGCTATCATTCTGGTTTTGATTTGTATTTCCTTAATGGCTATTGATGTTAAGCATCTTTTCATATGTTTATTGGCCATTTGCATATCTTGGGAGAAATGTCTATTGAAATCCATTGTGCATTAAAAAATTAATAGACTTTTTCTCAAGGAGTTTTACGTTTACAGAGAAATTAAGCAGAACGTAGGTTTCCTTTATCCCTCCCCCAACAGTTTCTTCCATTATTAACATCTTGCATTAGTGTGGTGCATTTGTTAAAATTGATGAGCCAATATGGATACATTATTACTAAAAGTCCATAATTTACATTAAGACTCATTCTTTGTTGTTGTACATTAGGAAGTACAGTAATACATACATAGAATGGGTTTTGACAAATATATATCTACCACTACATTATCATTAAAATATTTTTAATGTCCTAAAACTACCCTGTGCTCCACCTATTCACCCCTCCTGCCCTTTGAATTCCTAGCAACCACTCATCTTTCGTTTGCACCCACGGTTTTGCCGTTTTCAGAATATCATGTTGTTGGAATCACAGTATGTTTGGATTTCACTTAGCGATATACATTTAAGTTTACTCCATGATACTTCATTTCATGGTAGCTCTTTTTTTTTTTTTAAGTATCGAATAATATCTTTTTGTCTGGCTGTGTCATCAGTTTGTTTATATATTCACCTATTGAAGGGCATTTGGTTGCTGCCAAGTTTTGACAGTTATCAAAAAATAGCTGCTATAAACATTTGTGTGAAGGTTTTTATGTAGGCAGAAGTTTTCAGTTCTTGGGTAAATGCCAAGGAGTGTGATAGCTGGATCATATGGTAAGAGTATGTTTTTTTAAAAAAATTTATTTATTTAAATTAGTTTCAAGTATACAGGACATTGGTTAGACATCTATATAGTTTATAAAATGATCCCCCAATTGCTCCCTTCCTCCCCTGGCCCTCCACCTAGCCATCATATTAATGCTAACTGCATTCTCTCTTCCGTGCTCCCCATCCCCACGACCAACTATCAACTACTAATTTGTACTTCTTTAACCCTTCACCCCATTCTCCCAGCCCCCAACCCCCATCCCCTCTGTCCATCACCAAATTGTCCACTATTTTTGTGAGTCTATTTTTAATTAGTTATTTTTGTTCCTTGGATTCCGCATATAAGTGAAGTCATATGGTATTTATCTTTCTCTGACTTATTTCACTCAGCTTAATAACCTCTAGGTCCATCCATGTCGTTGCAAATGGTAGGATTTCATTTATTTTAATGGCTGAGTAATATTCCATTGTGTATATGAACCATAATTTCTTTATCGAATCGTCTGTTGATGGGCATTTAAATTGCTTCCATATCTTGGCTATTGTAAATTGTGCTGCCATGAATATTGGAGTGCATAGATCTTTACGAATTATTGTTTTGGTTTTCTTTGGATAAATACCCAGAAGTGCAATTGCTGGATCAAAAGGTATATCCATTTTTAATTTTTTGAGAAACCTTCATACTGTTTTCCATAGCAGCTGTACCAATTTGCATTCCCACCACCAATGTACGAGGGTTCCCTTTTCTCTGCATTCTTGCCAGCACTTCTTGTTTTTGATTTATTGATGATAGCCATTCTGACAGGTGTGAGGTGCTTTCTCATTGTGGTTTTTATTTGCATTACTTTGATGGTTAGCGACCTTGAGCATCTTTTTATATGTCTACTAGTCATCTGTATTTCCTCTTTTAAGAAGTATCTGTTCAGGTCTTCTGCCCATTTTTTAACTGGATTGTTTGTTTTTTTATGTTGTTGAGATGTATAAGTTCTTGATATATGTTAGATATTAGCCCTTTATCAGATTTATCATTAGCAAATATCTTCTCTCAAACATTCGGTTATCTTTCATTTTTTTGGTGGTTTCCTTTGCTGTACAAAACCTTTTTAGTTTGATGTAGTCTCATTTGTTTATTTTTTCTTTTGTTTCCCTTACTGAGGAGGTATATCTGAAAAGAAATTCCTGTTAGTAATATCAGAGTTTACTGCCTATGTTTTCTTCTAGAAGTTTTATGGTTTCAGGTCTCACATTTAAGTCTTTAATATATTTTGAGTCTATTCTTGTATGTGGTGTAAGAAGGTGGTCCACCTTATTTTTGCATGTATCTGTCCGGTTTTCCCAACACCAATTATTGAAGAGACTGTCCTTGCCCCATTGTATATTCTTACCTCTTTTGTCATATATTAAGTGAGCGTATAGGCGTGGATTTATTTCTGAGCTCTTTATTCTGTTCCATTGATCAATGTATCTGTTTTTATGCCAGTTACCATGTGTTTTGATTACTGTTGTCTGGTAGTATAGTTTGATATCAGGTAGTGGGATATTTCTAACTCTGTTCTTCTTTCTCACGATTGCCA